TATTTGGAATTCAAGCTACCACTGTAAGCACCTGTTTAATTTTGTGAATGTTTTGTAGTTTTTGACAGCTTTTACTTGCAGAATTCATTATGGTGTTGATTGTATAATCTTGGTTTGGGTATATTTCATATTATGATCTACTCTTAACATATAATGAATTTTATATCTGTTATTTTCATGTTAGCAATTGCAGTTCATCCATTCCTTTGTTGCTTTTGCTGTTCGATGCTTCATCATTTAATTGGCAATGCTTTGTTATGAAACTGGTTATCACTTTATAATGCTTTTCAAGAATTAGCTTGCCACGGGAAGTCGTGAATTACCATGTGACCATCCATTACTGTTCGTACTTGCTTAGTTTATTGCATTTTATTTTCCTTCTATTGTATTTATTGGATAGCTTAACATGAAGCTTACTTTTCTAATTCCATTATTTCTTGCTTTATTGTTGTAGATGGAAACGATTAACATGTTTTTTGATGTACTTTTGATTTGCATGCTCACTCTAAGTTTATTAACCATACATTTATTGTTTCTATAGTGTGCAGGGAATTACTATTGTGTGGGATAGCTAAATTGTCGGTCGAAGAAATTAACTTTGATATTGTTCAATTTTTTTTTTGAAGTAGTAGTCTTTTGAGAATTGTTGAGATGAACTTCACAATGACATACTGTATTGAACCGTATTCAATATTTTTATTTATCGAAACAATGGAAAATTTGATTATTTATGGATTAATTTAGTTTTGTTATTATTATTGGTTTGCTAGTAAATTGGTAATCAAATAAATAAATAATTTTTTAAAAATTACATTGATATTTACGGCGTGCATTTTAACACACCGTAAAAAGTGAGATACTTTTTTACGGCGTGCAGTTGAACGTCGTAAAATTTATTTACGGCATACATTTTAGCACACCGTAAAAAGTGAGATACTTCAATATATTTGTTTTTGGGTGTTGGTTCTAGTTGAACTTCAATATGTTTGTTTTTGGGTGTTGGATCTAGTTGAACTTCAATACTGTTCACAAATGCATTAGCTGAATTTAATGTTGTGCTTGAATATAGTGGGGACAAAACAAAATAAAACTAGAAATAG